AAAGATTTATCACTCATATTGGTTTAATAAAATGCTGGTTGGCCAGCAGCCAAGCAGGAAGTATAGGCGGGTGATCCGATGAGAACTCTGGGAGGAGGAAAAGCAGAGAGTCAGTCACCAGTCAGACACAGCAAGATGAGAATGCCTCACTGAGAAAAGGTAGCAAGCCACGTGGATAAACAGAGACAAGAATTATGGGTTAATTTAAGTTATAAAAGCTAGTTAATAAATCTGAGCTAGTAGGCCAAACAGTTTATAATTCATATAAGCCTCTGTGTTTCTTTGGGGCTGAATGGCTGTGGGATGGGGCAGGACAGAAACTCCCCTCCATTAAATACACATATAATTCTTCTTATATGAAAAGTTGAGATACACACCTTTCCAAGCCTGACTTATTTCACTTAACATGCTAGCCTTCAGTTCTGTCCATTTCCCCTGGGAAATCACTCATTTCATTCATTATTACAGCGGAATAAAACCCCACTGTGTATAGATGCCACATTCTTTTGCACTGTCTGTAGATAGGCACCTGGGCAGGTTCCTTTCTTAACTGTTGTCAATAATTCAGCACTAAAGATGGATGCACAAGAATCTCCACGCTCTGCTGATGAAGCTTCTTCAAGGGATTGGACAGCAAGCAGGTCATTGGGAGATTCTATCTTTGTTGAGAAATCCCCACACCATTGAGAAGCCATAGTGCACCAGTATATACTCCCTTCAGCACGAATAAGGGACCCTCTTCGGCCATGTCCCTGGCAGCATTTGCTGTTTGTTTTTCTGACTGGGGTGAAATGAAATCTCAATACAGTTTTAATTTGCATTTCCTGATGATTAAGGATGAACATTTTTATGTATTTATGGACAATCTGCGGCTCCACAACCCAGAAATGACCTTTCTCGGTATCACCAGCGATGTGCAGGCTGCCCAATTCAGTTTCCCGGTCCGTGTCGTCTCATGCTCCTCTCTGCAGCGGCGTTGTCCTGAGTGGGCGCCCACGAGAACTGACAGGTGGTAGTGTACAATCAGTCCAGCTGCAGGCTCAGCAGACACGGCAGCCTGAACCCAGGTGGAGAATTAGGGGAGAGTGTACACGCAATAGAAATCAGCTGGTGCTTCACACTGGGGCCTTTCTTCCTGATGGCCACTTGCTCAGTTTACTGGACACAGAGGGGTGGTGGGTACCATCTTTGCCTCTTAGAGCCTCTGTCTTAGCCGACCCATTGCCTTTTGTTAGCATCCATCTGGAGTCAGCCCTGGATATCCCCCTTTCAAATGCTAGCCAGCTTCAAAATTGGTCTTACTGATTCCCATGTCTTTAAATACTGCTGTTATATAGATCACATTCTGATCAGTGTTTCTTTGCCCTGTTACCCTCCCTGGTTACCCCCACTTAGACTCCTTCACCTCTGACTACAAACCTGTCCTCTAAGAGTCTAACATTGGTGTCTCTTAGACAGATAGCTCAAACGTGTGGCCAGAGCAGAGTTCCAGACTTGACTACACTGAGCTTTCTCTTCGTCTCTGCCCACCACTCTTGGGTTCAGGGAGAGAGCGCCACGCCCATGCACTCTTCTCTTGAAGCCAGAACCCAGAGAATCAGCTGTAGTTCCCCTGATCCCTCATTTACTCAACAAACCCTGCCAACTGTCTTTGGCTGTGTGTGTGTGTGTGTGTGTGTGTGTGTGTGTGTGTGTGAGAGAGAGAGAGAGAGAGACAGAGAGAGAGAGAGAGAGAGAGAGACAGAGAGAGACAGAGACAGAGAGAGAGACAGAGAGAGAGACAGAGACAGAGAGAGAGACAGAGACAGAGACAGACAGACAGACAGACAGACGGACAGAGACTGCACGTGTGTGTACCTTCCCATCTCAACACGGGCTTCCACCATTCTTCACTTCAGCCCCCACCCTGTATCTGATCTTCAGTTTTTCTCTCCAGCTCGTTCTCCACGGAGCAAACAGCAAACATGACGTCAGTGTGAGTGACATCATGCCCCTTCTCCACTTAAAGACTGCAAATGGTATACAATTTCATGTAGTTTAGGAACTAAGTTTTAGGTTCTTATCTAGTCTTTGATTAGCTCTTCGGTTGAAAGTATCATCTTCAGATTCCTTTGTGTTCCGGTCAAGCCCAGGATGCTGGGCTCGGATGCTGGGCTCTCTAGTCCTTGAGCCTGCCTGGCTCCTCTCTCCTTCACCAAGTGGGTCTTCTCATGTGTGCCCTGCCTAGAACGCACCTTTTTTATTTTTCTGTACTGATTTTCTTCTATTACTTTAGTTAGCAAATCAAATTGATCAGTTGATTATTTAGGTTTTTTTGAGACAGGGTCTTATTAGTAGTCCAGGTTGAATTTGACACACAAAAAAATCTTCCTGCCTCAACCTCCTAGAGTGCTTGGAATACAGTCACATGCCACCACATCTGGCTGTCGGATGAGTGTAATGTTCTCTTTCCACTGTCCTTTACTTGGTCCCCTTGTCTTTTTCTTGGTGAAATTAATGTCCATAAGTCAGGATTTCCATCATAGGAATAAGTAGTAAAAAAGCATTAAGATTATCTTAGTCTGGGGCTGGGCAGACGGGTCAATTGGTAAAGCGCTTGCTGCACAAGCGTGAGGGCCTGAGCTTGGGTGCCCGGCACCATGTAAAAAGCTGAGCACAGAGACACACTTGTAATTCCAGTACTGGGGCAGAGATAGGAGACTCTTTGGGGCTTGCTGGCTACACAGTCTAGCTGAATCAGTGAGATCCTGACTCAGTGAGAGATCCTGCCTCAAAAAATAAGATGGAGACCAAGATGGAGGAAGACACTCAATGTGGACCCATGCGCACATGCGCTCGCTCTCTCTCTCTCTCTCTCTCTCTCTCTCTCTCACACACACACACACACACTTAGCATGAGACACAGTGTAAAGTAGGTACTAAATGGTAACTTTTATTTATTGTTACTATTGCTTGGTTTTAGTTTAATTTAGCATTCCAGAGCACCCGAATGAAGGCCTGCATCCTGAAGGAGCAGTGCTAAAACCGGGGACATTGTTTGCGCCTTGATTTCTCGCCTGGGCAGCCCGAGCTAGGCAGACATCACCTCACCGGTGTTAAGTATGTTCTCAAAGGGAGAAACCAGCATGGCGGAGGGTCATGGTGGTCCTCACAGGTCAGAGGAGAAGTGCACAGATGTACTGTGAGACCCTGGTTTTCCCTGACAAACTCACAGGGCAGAGCATATTGGGATTTGGGCAGTTTGAGCAATCAGAGTGATACGCCTGGGGCTCTGGTCAGACGCTTCTAAATTTAGTTCCTAGTTTAATTCAGAGAGTTCTGCAACTTTAATCATGCATTAAAAATACAGCAGCCTGCTTGGAGCAGCAGGGAAGTGCAGGGACAGGGAAGAGGAAGTACAGGGGCATAGAAGTGTGGGTACAGGGAAGTGTGTGTGTGTGTGTGTGTGTGTGTGTGTGTGTGTCTGCGTGCGCACGCAGGGACAGGGCTGTATTCAGTGTTTAAAATCAGGAAAACAGGATCTGCTGGGCAGTAAGTCAGCTCTCCTAGTGAGAGGAGTACAGCCAAGTTCATTGGGAATTTAAAGAACAGGAGTCCCAGCACCAGATTAAAACCTTTTAAGGAAAGGCTTTTATTCAAATGCTCAGGAGAAGTGGCTCTGATGCCATTAGTGACCAGACCATATCTATCAATGTGACCGGAAGGTTGTCTTCCCGGGAGCCTCCAGACAGTTACGTACTTCTAGCCAAATCTTCAGGCTGTACCCTCTCTGGTCTCCTGACCTTCCTTGAGGGGTTAGAACAGAATTTTCTGGAACTGCATGCTCCATAATCTTTAAGCTTGCATCCTATTTCATTCAGCATAAGCTTGCAGGGGTGAGGGGGACCCAACGCAGCTCAGAAACAGAGAGACCAGAGATTCGAGAGGAGACGAGAAGCCCCACCTACTCTGTTTTTCTTAGGAAACTTACTATCTTGCCTGCCTACTTTTCCAGGAATCCTGACGAGTGCTCTCCAGGGTCAGCCTGGGGCTGTTTGGCAACTTCCATCAAAACAGCCCTTTCTTAAAGAGGGCCTCGCAGCGTGAAGGTGTTATCCCAGCTGATTTCCAGGCACCCGTGCTCACTCGATTCTTTTAATTAATGAATATAAAAGAATAAGAAGCCCAGCTTTGCTAGAGAGCAGCTAAGGAGCCAAGATCAAAATAATACTGCAGACTCCACCTCTGAGATGACTACCTTTTTTCCTTTTTTGAGTAACAGTGAAATTAGAAAAACTCCAATGAGGAGCCGGTGGAAACTGGTGAAGGAGCCCACAATAAATCCTACAGAGGACACCACCCTAGGCAGCCTTCAGAGACTCAGAGAGGATTATTATTATTATAAGTTATCTCCAGGATAAATTGACGGATGAAAATGTGCTGGTTAGAACCAGAGCATGTTATGAAAGAAGCAACATTTCATCATGCGTGTGCTTTGCATGTGTCCTGCAGTCATGTATACCTGCGCATGAAGGAGGGAGCTATGCAGAATAGCTGGCAGGTGCAACTCTTAAGTGTGTCTCAAAGTCCTGCGGGCGTAAGGCTTTAGGTAATTGAGAGTATATCCCAAAGGGCCTGTTGAATTCTGGTCTCTTTTTCTCTCTCGTTTCTTAGCCAGAAGGTAAATGTTCGACTATGTCCCCCATTCCTGCTAGGACACTTTTTTACGTCACAGGCCCAAAACAGTAGGGCCAACTGAACATGGCTGCTCCAAAGTTGTGTGGTCTTGGGGTGTATATGAAAGCAGGCTGAGCAACCCAAAGCAGCACACCTCCATAATCTCTGCATTAGATCCTGCCTCCAGGTTCCTGCCTGGAGTTCTTGTCCTGGCTTCTACTAATGGTCACCTGTGTAATCAAATAAACTGTTTTCTCCCCAAGTGGCTTTTGGTCATGGTGTTTATGACAGTCATAGGAAGAAGACTAGGACACAGGCATTTGTCACAGCAATATAATATAATATAATATAATATAATATAATATAATATAATATAATATAATATAATATAATGTAATATAAATGTATATAAATGTAGAGAGAGCCAAAGCACTTTTCCCATTATATACTTGCTTTTTTAATATGGAAACATAGTTGGCTCACATTATCTCTGTTATCTATAGTTACAGTCTGTCTGTCTGTCTGTCTGTCTGTCTGTCATTCTGAATCTGTGTTAACAACTGACTTGTCTTTGGACTTCGAAGTACATTCTCCTTGGCATCTTCAGCCATTTTTACCAGATACTGAGTACTGTAGTCATTGCTTTATTGGATCCTGGATTTTATTCAGTATTGTTCTTCATTCTAGTAGGCTGTTGAGGTCTTTCCAGATCAATTTGCTCTTCTCAAGGCTTTTTAAAAACCACGAGAGTGGACAGATAAATTTTTCACTCTGGCAATATTTGAGCTTTTATATTCAAGTGTGGCTCCTGTGAGTCCTCAACCAAATGCCTTAGATTAACTACCAGCTTATGTCCACTGTACCTTGGAGGACGTGTGAACTCAACAATCTGCTTGGTTTTCAAGTGTTTGTCCATTTTCTCCTCTGAGTCTCCAAGTGATGGACGTGCAGTCGAGCAGTCAATAAGGTCTCCAGAGGATGTTTGTGTGTACTGGAAGCTCTTCCCGTCCAGCAGTCACCATTTGCCAATAGCTCCTCAGGTAGGGTTGGGACTCCATGACCACCTCCCCTCCTCCGTGTTGGTTCTCTACAGGTCTTGTGCATGCTGTCATGACAGCTGTCAGTCCATGTGTGCAGCTGCCCTTCAGTGCTGGGACACATGGTTTGCCTGTGGTCGTCCATCTACCCCTATAGTTCTTATAATCTTCTGCTTCTCTCTTCTGGGATGATCCCCGAGCCTTGGGAGAAGGGTGTGATACAGATATTTATTTAGGACAGAATATTCTGAAGTCTCTTATTCTCTGCATGTTGGCAGTTGCGGGTCTCTGTATTATTAACCAATATTCACTATGATAACAAACTTCTCTGAGGAAGCCTAAGAGATACATCAATCTGTGCATCAGCCTATGGGCATAACGGTAAGTCATTAGGAGTCAGTTCAGTACTGTGTCCCTTTAACAGAATAATTGTAATAGCTTCTCCTCTGGGGCCTAGGACTTGCCTGGCTGTGGGTTCTTGTTCCCTTAGCAGTGAAAACCCTGAGCTTCATTTTAGGGAGTGGGCCTTGGATCAGTTCAGAAAGTGGTTTTATAATCTTCATGCCATTACTGTGCTGGTGGGAACGTCTTGCTAGGCTAGTTATTATTTTTATCTCACAGGATCCATAACTCAGTTAGACTGATGATTAATTTTATCCCCAGTTGGCCTTTAGCACTTAACCACCACCCCCACACCACAGAAGCTGGCCAGTAGGGATGGTGCTTCTGGGTTAGCACCAACTTGATTTCTGCATGTTTATTTTTCTTCACTTTTTAGACCTGTCCACTGTTGTTCAGTTTCAATGGAATGTGTCTATTTCCATGTTTTTAACTCATTCTAGTCGATATATTCATGTTTCCTTAGTTTGTTGACTTACACAGTATTCTCAGCTGTTCTTGTCAAGTGTTGGTTCTCCTACATGTTCTAATTCTTTCCTAGGATTTTTATTATTTATACATCAATTCTTCTCCTCCATCTATCCTTAAAAATGTTTTTGTTTAAAATACTTTTTCAGCTAGGTGATGGTGGTGCATCCCTTTAATTCTAGCACTTCAGAGGCAGAGGCAGGCTGATCTCTATGAGTTAGAGTCTAGCCTGGTCTACAAAGCTAATTCCAGTACTGCCAAGGCTATACATAGAAACTCTGTCTCAAAAATCTAATAACATAAAATAAAATATTTTTAATATACCATATTTTGACCATATTCTTTCCCTTCCCCCACTCCTAGATCCTCCCCCACTGCCTTACCCACCCAACTTCATGTTCTTGCTCTCAGAAAAATAAGAAAAACAAAAACGAAAAACCAAAACAGACAAACAAACAGAAAAGGGAAATCAAAAGACAAATTTTTTTTTAAAAAAAAGAAAAACAAACAAACAAAAGACATGGAGTCTATTCTGGTTGGCCAGCTACTCCTAGGCATGGCGCTTACCCTGGAGTGTGGTTCAGCTACCCAGTGATGCTTCCTTTGAGAAAACTGTTCTTCCTTCCAGCAGGTATAAATCACACATAGCTTCTTGGTTAGAGGTGGGGCTTTGTGTCCACTTCTGCTTCCCAGCTCTGGGATTTTGTCTTGTTTGAACCTGTGCAGGTCTTGTGTGTGCTGTCGCGGTCTCTGTGAGTTCACATGTGCATCTGTCCTGTTGTGTCTCGATGTGGGATTCCCCTGCATGCTGTGAATATGTTTTATTATCATTGGTTAATGAATAAGTCTACCTCGGCCAAAGAGTTAATAAGGCAAAGCCAGGTGGGAAATCTGAACAGAGATATAGAAAGTAGGCAGAGCCAAAGAGACGGCATGTAGCTGCCACAGGAGACAGATGCCTGACGAAACCCTATCAGTATGCCACGACCTCAGGCAATACATAAATCATTGACCGAGGTTTCTGTCCTTCCCAGTCTCATAGCTGTTCAGTCCCAAAGAAAAACACAGAGGTCTACATTCATTATAAACTGATTGGCCTAGTAGCTCAGGCATCTCATTAACTCTTATAACTTATATTAGCCCATAATACTTGTCTGTGTTAGCCACGTGGCTTGGTACTTTTTTTGGTGAGGCAGTCACATTTTGCTTGTTCTGTGTCTGGGTGATGACTGCAGACTGAAACTTCCCTCTTCCCAGAATTCTCATTGCCCTGCCTCTACTTCCTGCCCGGTCAACCCGCCTATACTTCCTGCCTGGCTACTGGCCAATCAGCGTTTATTTAAATTACAAGTGACAGGGTCCAGACCATTGTCCCACAGCAATAGATTAATAAAAATGTGTTAATTCAACACAACATGTAAGAGCTAACAAGGAATATGACTAAACTATTGACCAAATAGTTTCTGTGATTATTTGGGTCTGGGCCGCTGGGAAATGAACAAGTAGTCTCCCACTACAGGATCTCAAAGAAGCTGTTTCCTTAGATTCTTTTTGCCTCCCTTCCACACAGATCCCTGAGCCTTGAGGGGAGGGGTTTAATGAAGGCATCCCATTTAGGACTAAGTGCTCCAAAGTCTCTCACTGCCTGCACTTTGCCAAGTTGAGGGTCTCTGTGTTAATCACTATGTATGTCAGGAAGCAGCTTCTCTGGTGAGGGCTGAGCGATGCTCTGACCTTAGTCCCAGCCTGGCGTCTCCCTTCATCTATCTTAACCAAGTTTTGCGTGTTATCCGCTTCCTACATTTTCAAAGCTTTCTCCTGTATAGTTTTATAGTTTTACCTTCTATGCCACTTCTTTTTTCTATGTTTTCTTTATACCTATCCATTGGATTAAAGGCTCTGACCGTAGTTTTGATTCTTTTTTAATTTACTCAATCATTTTGATAGTATACCAGCTCAGTGATATCACCTGTTATCACTTTACTTTATATATTTTATACCTAATTTATATTTGCTGCACGGGAATTGTACTCCTCTGTCACACTTTGGTCTATACCTGCTGTTCTGGCTGAATCATACCAAGAGCTGACTATGTTCATGTGTTACTGATGATCTTTGCATCATTTTTGGTGGCTTTTACTCCATGGAAATTGTTGGAGTTCACATTGGGGATGCTTTAAAAACATTTATTCTCCCCCAGACCCATGTGTGTGTGTGTGTGTGTGTGTGTGTGTGTGTGTGTGTGTGTGTGTGAGTGAGTATCCACAGAGGCTAGAAGAAGGAGCTCCCTGGAGCTGGAATTACAGGTCATCTGAACAGCTGACATGGATGTTAGAAACTGAATTCAGGTCCTCTGAAAGAGTAGCAAGGCCTCTTGACTGACTTGCCATCTTTCCACCCCCCCCCCAGGTGCTTTTATAAAGCAGAATTTTGCTTTATTTTCTTGAGAGTCCAAGATTCCATCAACCTGAGGTCACCTAACTCCTCTAGAGGCCTGGATTAAAAAGCAGTCTCAGAGTCACCCTCTCTACCCCACATGCTGTCCAAGACCAGGCCTTCCTTGTCGGATTTCCTAATTGTCTACTGCCCAGAGGTGTTTGATGTCCAAGTATTAAGTACCTTTTTTTTTTCTACTAGAAATTACGCTAAAGTAGAATTATTCCCATGCTGCTTGTATGAAGTTCAGGCTGAGAATGAGAAGAGAGTGAGCAACAGCCAAGAGCTGTGGGAGTGGAGATCAATATTCAATCATTTGAAGACAGAAAGCATGAATAATGCACACTCGCTCGCTTCCATTCAAAGTAGAAAGCATATTTTTGGCAAGAGTCAAAAGTAACTAACCATTTTTCCCCCAGACAGTTTGGAATATGTTTCTTCTTTTGGTCAATCCAAACTCCTCTAGTTTATAGTATAGAATTTATAGTATAGTATTTATTAATCTTATAAATGACACTCATTGTGTCCCAAAGATATCTTGTTCTTTCCAGCTTGCTCACACAGAGATTATTATTTCAGAAGCAACTGTCTTGATTCAGGTTGGAAGAATTAGTTCTTAGATTTCTAACGCTACAGCTGTTCTGTAGCGTGGCTGACTCTGAAGGCATTCCTCAGTAGCGTTGCTGCTCAATACAAGTCAGTGGGGCTGGGGAGATGCCTCGGTGGGTAAATGCCCACCCAGAAGCACTGGAGCCTGCGTTCAGATCCCCAGAGCCCACACAAAGCAGGTATGGTGGCGTGTCCCTGAATCCAGCACTGGGGGTAGTGGGCACAGGTAGATCCCGTCCCCCAACCTGTGTAGTGGAAACAGTGATCTCTAGGTTCAGTGAAGAGACCCTGCCTCAAAAAATAAAGTGGGGGGGGCAATGGAGGTAGATATCTGGTACCAGCCTCCAACACTCATCCACACACACCCTTGCACGTATGTGGGAGCGTGTATACACACACACACCAAATAAAGATATATAAGCCAGCCATATATATTTTAAAACTTGGAATTGATACTAAACCTGAAGATAAAATGCAATTAATAATAGGAAAATCTACTTGTAGCTAACAATGATCTCTGACAATAAACCTATATTTAAATGTAATTTTTTAAAAAAAATATTTATTTATTATGTATACAATATTCTGTCTACATGTATGTCTGAAGGCCAGGAGAGGGCACCAGACCTCATTATAGATGGTTGTGAGCCACCATGTGGTTGCTGGGAATTGAACTCAGGACCTTTGGAAGAGCAGGCAATGCTCTTAACCTCTGAGCCATCTCTCCAGCCCCTAAATGTAATTTTTATTTATTTATTCATTTAATTTTTATGTGTGTTGGTATTTGGCTTGCATATATGTCTGTGTGAGGGAGTCAGAGTCACTGGAACTTGAGTTACAGACAGTTGTGAGCTGTCACGTGGATGCTGGAATTGAACCCAGGTCTCTCTGGAAGAGCAGCCAGTGCTCTTACCCACTGAGTCATCTCTTCAGACCTGTTTTTGAAGCTGCCAGGTCCTGAGTACACATGTCCTTCAGTGTCTTATATTAAATGCTATCATATTTGCATGTAAACTATACATTTCTGTTTGGGTTCTTTAAACCATTTCCAGCTTAGTTATAACTAGTGTAATGTAAATGCTGTATAAAATGATATATTAGGTCACTTAGGAAACCAAGGCAAAGCAAGCATAGCAATCCATGTTCAATGCAAACATGGTTTATTTTCTTCAGACAGGTGTTGCTACGTAGCCCAGGCTGGCCTTGAACCCATGACCCTCTTCTCTGGCCTTGGCCTCCTGAGGGCTGAGACTGCAGGCATGTGCCAACGCGTCTGACAAGATGCAGCTGTTCTATTCAATAGTTTCAGCTCACAGTTGGTTGATTTCCTGGATGGGAAAGCTACAGCTAAGCTGAGGACTGACTTGCTCTCCGCCTAAAAAACACTGTGTACATTGCCTTATTCCAGACAGTGAGAGCATATTTTATGACCATCTGTGTGGTCTATTATAAGCGCCTTAAGGACACGAGGGTAAGATCTGCTTGTACTGTATCTGTGGTTGTACAATGAGGTTACGAAGTCCAGAATGACTGTGGCAGACAGATGAAGAAAGGGACTAGGTATTATCGCAAGGCTCAAGGTAGACAAGCACACGGTTCTGGGACCTGTGTCCCTGTATGACATCCACTAGAATACATGCTTGGTAACATACGTGCCGAACTTGGCAGGGCTGCAATGTTCACGGAGTACTTATGGAGCTTTGGGGGAGGAGAAAACACACAGGGCAATCTTTAAGGAGCAACACAAAACAACATGTTTTTAAAGCAGTTGTGTGTTGGTGTTCTGAAAACACATGGAAGCTTAGAGGTCAGCGGGCACAGAAGGACCTGGGGAACGTTTCATGAGGTGGCTTAGGGGTGACTTAGATGGGGAGAAAGGCAATAGCAAAGAATGGTGAGAGCAAAGACAGGCAGGGGACACTATTGAGAAATGTCAGCGGAGAAAGTACTCGTGCAAGGTGTAAGTAGAGGTGCATGGGGGGGCAGGCTTGCTCAGTGTGCAAAGGTTCTCAACACTTCAGAAGCTGTTTAGGACGTAGGTCATGCCTACCCTGTTCACCGCTGTGGTCGCCCGACTACCTGACACAAAGGTCGGCTGGTAGCCTCTGTTCGCTAAGTCTCTGTTGGAGGAACTGCTCGGTTGCAATGAGTTGGATGAAATAAGACCATCTGGAGATCGGCGGGGACAGCCTGCAGGTTTGGGAGTAACGACAACGTCCTCAGCAGAAAAACTATCGTCAAGGCAGCAGCAGGCAGAGCGAAGGAGGGAGGGCTGGAGGCAGGCTGGGCAGGGAGGCGACCCTGCAAACACCCAGGTGATTCCTGTTAGTAGTGAGCTGGGGATGGAGGGAAAGAAAGTCTTCTTGAGACACAAGAAACTGGACTGTGACCTGTCTAAAAGGAATGTCGTCAAGGTGACAGACAAGGAGTTGATTTTAGTTGTTGAGTTTAGGGGTTTGAAATTTAGTGCTACTGAAGTTTGAAATTTTCTTTTCTCATTATGTCTTTTTTCCCCCTGACACCTCCCTCCCCACAGGATCATCATATCGTCGGGCTTTCTCCAATTATTGACCAATTATTTTTTTCATAGAATTGTGTCCACCTGTTCTTTGAACATTTCTGAATTGCTGGACCTGTTATTATGAGCTGCCAAAGACTGCTCCACAGTGAGGGTCAACCCCCTCAGGTGTCTGTGGAATTCTTCCCCCAGTCAAGGGCAGCACTTATGGAAGGTATAGGATCAGTCCTAACGGTGTCTCTCTGGGACCAAGGCTGGAAGCTGGAAAGCCTCACTGACAGTCATCCTCCCCCCTCCCCCCAACAACATCATCATCAGGGACTCGGGTCCACAGTATGGACCACGCAGACTCCCCCACCCCATCACATGCCCACCTTGCTCAGGAACAAAGCTCTGCCTGGTGCGATAGCCAAGCCGGCAGTGCGTCCCCAGCAGCCAGTGGACCCGAGTGGGCCCGGCCTGCCCGCGGGCACCGGGCGGGGGAGACGGCCCCGCCCAGCCGGCCGTAGCTGTCAGCAGCGCCGCGCCCTGCAGATCCCCGCCTGCCCGCCCGCCCGGCTGCCCGGAGCGCGGAGCAGGTGTCCTGCGGGAGGCGGCGTCCGCCCGGGGCCTGGGGCTGGGGAGGCGCGAGCCCGTGTGCGCATCTCGGGATCCTATCCTCCCCACGCCCTGCGGGTTCTCCTCTCCCTCCGGATTCGGCTGCCGCTGCCTGAGCCATGTCCACACGAGGTGAGTGGGGACCAGGTGGCACGGTGTGCGGACCCAGTGCCGGGTCTGGAGAGTGCGCGCTGGGCAGGTGCCAGGGGGCAAGGGGCTGCGAGAGTCGTGTTGGCCCCAGCCGGGCCTGAAACTTTGGCAGCGACTCCCCGGGCTCCTGGGCTGGGAAAGGAAGCCCTCGCCCTTGACCTTGATCGCCGGATGTGGGCGAAGCCTGAGGGCCAAGGTCCGGTGCCCAGCCCACCTGTACTAGCTGCGCCTCTGGGCTGGGAGGGCGTGGGGGATGGGCTGGCCACTGCCAGTCTTGCTGAAGAGCTGTGGAAGGGCTGGCTGGGTGGAAGAGGTATTTTTTTTCTCCTTTCTTGTTACCATTTTGTAGCTCAGTTATGGAAGAAATCCAGGGCTCGATGCAGCAAGATTTAAAGCTGCAGAGTTCATACTTCATTAAAAAAAAAAAAAGTAAATTTACCTGTACTAACGGTTACCTGGTGTCCCCCTTTCTCGTCCCTCCCGTTTTGATCTGGAGCAGAAATAATTACTGCAGGTGAAGTGGAAGGATGGGAAGAAAGGGGAAAATCAGAATTGCTTTTCAGGCAGGAGTGAAGGGAACGCATTTCTTGCCATCTGGAGCCAGCAGTGATGCTTGGGAGAGGAGTTAGTCATAGCGCCGCGGCTGCTACTATGAGTGAAATATTAAAGAGATCGAGTCAGTGTGCAGCTTGCAAGCAATTAAAACGAAGTGGCTTGGTTGCTTTGTCATAAGCCTTGAAGGAAAATATTGATTATTTTTAGAAAGTGTATTTGCAAAGCAGCGACTTGGACATCTTTGACTCCCCTTGAAGTGACTTGTGACAGGTTGCAGAGCTGGCCTTTAAACTCTGAAGCTTTGGCCCTTTTTGGTATGGGAGAGAGTTAGAAATTCAATTACATTGTTAGGTAATGAAGCACTCCCTTTTAGGGTCATGCTGGGGATTATCATCCATAATCTCTATTCAGAATGCTGAAAATTCATTTTGCAGAATCTGATCTTGGTTGGTGATTGCTCTGGAAGTGGGATTGTTCTCCTTCGTGTCTAGAAGTGGGATAGATATGGAGCTGGGATTTACATTTTACATGATCAGGCTATAGAGGTGGCATGGAGCCCTGGGCTATGTCCAGCATATTTATGGCCAATGCCTTGTGCATGCTGGGGTCGACGGAAGGAAAAAGGATGCAGCGTGTCTGGAAGGTCCTTGATGAGCAGGTTCTCCTGTGTGATCCCAGGACACTTGGTCTGGGACTCCGAACAGTGTTCTGAAGCTGAATTCACCCCTGACCTTTATGCTCACTAAGGAGCACGTGGGGAAAATATGTCAGAGGTTGTAAACTCTCTTGGGTAAGAGCATTTGACTTGGTTTTACACGCCACTAAAATCCCTTGCAGCAAAGCCTCACTAACTGTTGGTGCCACCTGACCACTGGGAACCCTGACATGTCCCGGGAAGCATACAGCCCAACAGATGACATCATTAATTTCCCATGGTGTCTGTGGTTTATCCAGGATGTCAGATGGGCACTAAGTCTGCACGGAACCTGCTTTCTCAAGTATTTCTGAGCCTACCTTCAAACACGCTGATTTCCCGTTTCCCTTCAAGCCCATGTTTGTAGTTGTGCCGGTTGGTTTTCACTGTCAACCTCACCCCTTTAAGAGCACGGTGCATGGCCACTAGTGTTGCCTCCCCATTTGGTAGAAGGAGCTGAGGTTTCGAGAGCTTTTGTACTCAGTGCTCACTCTTCACTGGCTGGTGACTGCTCCCTGCCCAGCGCTGTCTGGTTCAGGTCCTTTGACCAGAGTGTTCACGAACACCTTCACAGGTATTGTGTGACGTTGACCGAAGGGAAACAGGATTGCCTGTGCTTGGTGACAGTCATTTAACCATCCCATTCTGACCCCTCCATTTCCAGCATTAGGACCAAGTCATAGAAGCTATCAAAGTCTTTGCAAAGTACTGTTATGTACACAGATTGAAACAAAATTCTAAACAATGAGTACAGTGTGTGCTTGGCGAAGTAGCTCCTCTGGGACCTCAAAACACATCAAAACTGTGAGTGACCCTGTCTTTGGCCAGTTCTGTATCTGTTGCCATCGTACAGGTGGAGGTGGAGATTAAACCCCAGGATCAGAAAGTTAACGTGTCTGTTTAAATATACAGATAGTAAGCAGGAAACTCTTTAGCTCTGGGGATGTAAATCCCATTGGTTTATCCCATGTGAGGTATGGAGGGCAAAGCCTAAAACAAAACAAAACCGGAAACACTGACATAAGTTAAATTTCAGTATAAGAACAATATGAAGAAAAATAGAGAAAAAACATGCACTTGTTCGCTATTTAAGACATATGGAGTATGAACTAAAATTAAATCTACTATTAAACCAACGATTAGTGTTTTTAACTTTCGCGGCAGTGTAAGTTAGGCTGTTTGCATCAACAGTTTCTCCACATGGTCTGGCTGAACTTTTAGCCTGGCGGAGTGTTTTTATCGCTGGAGAACAGAGTGGGCTCATCATGTTCCGGATCTGGACTCAGCATCCAGAAGAAATGGCCGCACTAGATAGAGGCTCTCATAATTCATCTTTTTAAAAGGCTGATTACCAGGTCTGGGTGCAGAGCTGATGGATCATCTATTGCAAAGGCAGAGCCCTTGAGCCACACACGTGGGAAGATGTCCAGGTACTTCTAAGTACTATTAGATTGGCATGAGGCCCCCAAATTTTAGGGTTCTCAGGCATCATATACAGACACCAGTCTTTGTGCTAGAGGTACCAAATAAAGACATTTGGGGAGGCAGGGACCGGGAGGTGTTTTATCAGTACAGTGCTTGCCGCAAGCAGAGAACCTGAGTTCAGATCTCTAGCACTCATGAACTCATGCTAGGCCTCGGCGTCCAGCAGTTTGGGAGATGGAGACAGGGGCACCCCTGGGTTCACGGACTGTCTGGGTTATGTGCTTCAGTTCAGTGAGAGACTCTGTCTCAAAAAAATGGAAATAGAGAACAGGAGGAGAAAATATTACACATCTCCATGTGCACCTGCACACACAGGTGTGCACACACACTCACACTCACTCACACAGAATATGCAGGGTAGGGCATGGGGAGAGAGGACACTGTAGTTAAGAGCACTTACTGCTCTTCCCAAAGACATAAGCTCAGTTCCCAGCACCTGCATCAGGTAGCTCAAAGCTGCCTGTCACCTCAGTTCCTGGAGCTCCAGTACCCTCTTCTGGCCTCCACAGAGTCTTACATGAATGTACACATTCTAACACGTGTTTGTGGACAACACACACACACACACACACACACACACACACACACACAAACCTAAACCATTTAAAGAATATTCAGGGTAGATTTTGAAGTCTGACTCTTCCACAGGCTCTACTTAGTTCTGTGCAGGCCAGTATGGCAGCCTTGGAGAGCGCCTGTCTCTGAGTGCTGGGCCTGCATCCTTTCACAGTTATCATAAGATCAGTTTTAGGTCACAGAAATAATATTAAAACACTCCCATATGATAAAAGCCTGCCAGCACATTGATAGAATATATGTAAGTTATGAAATAAGTGTTTAAATTCAAACACAGTGCAAGAGTATGAGGTTAGAAATAATATTTTCCTATTTTTACTTCCTACCCGGATAATAAAACGCAGTGAACACTGTAGTCAGAGACCTTCCAGCTGATTTCCGATTGGTTAGTGTCTGGTTCAGTTCAATAGCTGTTAAATATTTATCCAATGTCAGATACATGGCGGATAACGGGCACTGTGCAAAAGGCATGAGTGCGCTAGCCTTTCAAAGACTGTGTCTGCATGAAAGGTTGAGGCACCCGTGGACGGCCTCAGCCACGCCAGCAGAGAGAGCAGGCAGAGTCTGTGTGGTCTGGCAATGTCAGAGAGTCTTGACACCTTGGATTTCAGAACTCCCATGAAAGCAGAGGCAAGAGGAGGGCTCATCTATAGGGAAATGCCTCTGAATTATGGTGCATGCTCTGTGGACTATTGGAAAGAATGAGTTTGGTCTATATGCCCTGTCTTGGGCAGCTGTCAATCATACACT